ATCTACAAATTTAATGCAATTCCAATAAAAAAAAATCAGCAGTATTGCTCTGTAGATTTAAAACTTAGGGGCTGGCCTCGTGGCTTAGCGGTTAAGTGCGTGCGCTCCGCTACTGCGGCCCGGGTTCAGATCCCGGGCGCGCACCGACGTACGCTTCTCCGGCCATGCTGAGGCCGTGTCCCACATACAGCAACTAGAAGGATGTGCCACTGTGACATACAACTATCTACTGGGGCTTTGGGGGAAAAAAAAAAAAAAAAGGAGGAGGATTGGCAATAGATGTTAGCTCAGAGCCGGTCTCCCTCAGCAAAAAGAGGAAGATTAGCACGGATGTTAGCTCAGGGCTGACCTTCCTCACACACACAAAAATAAATAAATAAAATAAAATAAAATTTATATGGAAAGGCAAAGAAACTAGAATAGCCAAAACAATTTTGAAAAAGAATCATACTAGCTGATTTTAAGACTTACTTTAAAGCTGCAGAAAGCAAGACAGTGTGTTATTGGTGAAGGGATAGACACTTAGATTAATGAACAAAATAGAGTCCATAAATAGACCCATAGAGATATGGCCAATTGATTCTTGACAAAGGTGCAGACAATTCAATGGAGAATGGATACCTTTTCAACAAATGGTGTTGGAACAATTAAACTCCATATGCCAAAAAAAAAAAACAAAAAGTCTCAACCTAAACCTCATACCTTATACAAAAATGAACTCAAAATGGGTCATAGATCTAAATGTAAAACTATAAAACTTTTAGAAAATATTGGAGGGCCGGCCCCGTGGCTTAGCGGTTAAGTGCTCGCGCTCTGCTGCTGGCGGCCCGGGTTCGGATCCCGGGCGCGCACCGACACGCCACTTCTCCGGCTATGCTTAGGCCGCGTCCCACGTACAGCAGCTAGAAGGATGTGCAGCTGTGACATACAACTATCTACTGGGGCTTTGGGGGGAAAAAAATAAATAAATAAAATCTTTAAAAAAAAAAAAAAAAAAGAAAATATTGGAGAAAATCTTAACGACAGGGTTAGGGTAAGAGTTCTTAGATACGACATTAAAAGCACAATCCATAAAAAAATTTATGAATTTTTTTATCAAAATTTTTCCTCTGTAAAGAAGCAGCAAAAAAAAAAAATAGTATGTAGATATGATGACATTTTTGTAAAACAAAACCCCATAAATATTTACACAAAAATTTTACAAAGTTTTGTTATCTTTGGAGAGCTGGTGCCAGGAGGTTGGTGTAGACGTTACCTTTGACTCTATACTCCCCTGTGGTGATTGAATTTTTATGAGTATTTCTTACTTTCCTACAAGGTCCCAAAGCTCCTCACCATTGGCAGCTTTCCAATGAGGTTGGACAGAAGTCTACTAGAAAAGCTGTGGGGAGATAAGGGTTGACTCCTTGGATTCCTTCCAACTCTAAAATCCTAGGATTTTGTGATTAGATCCAACATAAGATAATTAAAAATCCCCTAAGTGAGAAAATGTTTGCCATATTTTATTTAATTTCAGAATCGCTGAAATAAAATTCTCAAAGCCCCAATGTCTCCCAGGTGCCTTCTAATGGGCTCAAATCTTGATGTATGCTGCTTATCATTTGCTGGGAGTAACTTGATACCTGAGTGACTAGTAGCCCCTTTCAAGTGTATTTTCTTAAACAACTTTAAGTGGGTCCCCTTCTTTTGCAGAACAGAGGAAACCGCAGTCCATTTATTGGATCACAATCCAGAAAGCATAGTCTTCACATGAAATCTGCTTTACTTCCTTACAAGCCTTAACTTACCTTAATTTTACCTGTAAACTACATTAAGTCTCTGATTTAGTGGAGTAAATCTGAAACTAACTAATGCACCTAACGGCAAATTCTCATAGTGAAATGTTAGACTGAAGAGCAGTGGTAGATTTACTGCAGAGTTAATGAAATTTAAGTTTCATGGACCTTTATCTGTGCAGACCCTTGAGGGTCTGTTGGGGCCTAGGAATGTGTCTACATTTTTGTTGATTTGCAAAAGTACGATATTTTAACCATAATCAACAACACTGTCTCTTTCCACTTTGACTTTCCCTCTATTATGCTTTTCTTGATGAGTGGCAACAGAGGGGCTATGGACATTTTGAGGATTCGGTTAAGGAGAAATGAGTTGGGGATAGGTTTCGTTTGAATTTAGTGGGATATGTTTTTGTGGTTTAGGGCAACTCTGTGTATAGTTAATTATTGCTAGCCATACTGGCATACAAATGGCTTTAGGAATACTCTTATAGCTCACTACGCCAATTCGCTTGCTGAGGGGACATGAAGATCCACGCCAGAGGTGGTGTCACACTATATGAAGGTGCCCAATGGCCTCTGATCTTGGAAGTACTGGGTGATGTAGGGGCAACAAGGTTTGAAATGTGCAGGGTCGAAAAGAGATCTGTGGAAAATTCTTCCAAATCTTATATCTTATATATGAAATAGACTAGAGAGGAGCTTTCCCACATTTGACAACAATCCCTAAAAATTTAGACATTATCAATAATGAGTTGTAAAACCCAAAGAAACTTTTCTAATCTACCAATAATAAAAAACAAAATTTGATCAAACATGCTATAGGAAAGACAGAATTATTTTCCTATTCTTCCTACACAGAATGACACTACAAAATCAGTGTTAAATGAAGAGGCAATCAAAGAATATGCACCCAGAAAGCATAGAGGAAAAATATTATAAAGATGTGCCAGGGAGTTAATTAAACTATTGCTATTTTCCTAGATTTTGTAATATTTATTGTATTTGTCAGTTTTTAAGCTTTGCAATTTGTTATGATTTCTTTGTCTCATTCTAAATAAATATATACTTTCAGACTTATACAAAATTAAGTCTCTGCATAGGAGCTTTTAAACATTTAGGAATGGGATAAAGCTTCCCTTTTAGTTACGGCCTCTTAGTAACACAGTCTAATGGGATCATGACTGACTTAGTCTAGAATCTGACCTCTGCAATGGAATTGGAAGCTCTGGGGTATCAGAACTAATAGTGAGAAGCACATAGATTTATCACCAGTCACCCTGCAGGAAGGAAACCTGGGTGGAATTTGGCATCAAGTAGGAATTTCTGTTCCAGAAAAGAAATCTGCAAAGAAGGTCTGTTGGAATGATCTGGTGGAGCTTTTATCTAATTTAAAACAGGAAAGACTTTGAGGCTTTTCAGAGAAGTGTGAAACGCTGGATTTGGGATATCTAGGTTCAATTCACCTAGTTTTGGTTTCTGCACTATCAAGGAAAAGTTAAGATAAAGTTGACACGGTGGATGATGATGACAATACTCTCCTATTTCACTATCCCTTCCTATCCTCTGTCGGTGACTGAGTACTGGACTGGACTGACAGATGTTATGGGAGATCCTACGGACAACGGGGCCAGTGACCCCTGACATGACCTTATAACAATTTATCTTACTCGTAAGAGCAGATGGGATTAACGCACTGGGATCATCATTCTTAAGCAAGTTATGTCAAGCTCACTGGCCCTTCCCTGAAGAGTTTACATATATATCTCTCTCTCTGTTTAACCCATGTATGAGTAATCCTGCTTGCTTTCTCTTTTTGGTATGTATGCCCCATTAAAAAATTAATTTGTCCTTTTATATCCCAAATTAGGCAAAAGAAAATTGTAATTGTATTTCACCATGGGCCCACAATTTGGCTCCAAGGGCAGTAATAAAAAATTGTAAGAGCAACCCCTGTTTGCTAGACTGGCCACCCAGTGTCCCCATAGGAAGGGGTCACAGGTTGCAGGAAAATCTCTTCTGTCCTCTTCAACCTCCCAATCCTAAAATGGTCTGAGACTAAGTACGATTCACATGATTGAAGACTCCTTCCTTCAAGCTGAAGTCAGGGTGGTTAATAACAATATTACTTAGCATCACATTTGGTAGGGAATAAAAGGTGTGTGGAGGAAGCCTTTAGACAGTCTCTGTGCTTGATGTCGTGGAATTTCTGTTTCATTGTGATCAAAAGAATCAGAGTATGGCACAGTCCAGAAAAGTGCACCATTTCGTTTTCAGCACTTCTGACAACAATGGGCCACTCTCCAAATTATCAAGTAATTCTTTTATTTGGCTATCCTGGGTTCTTTGTGATTTAGTGATAAAGTCTGTAATTCAGAATAAGGATGCCTTCTCCAGGAGAAAATGACAGGAGGACTATGGCTGCAAGACCGAGAGGACAATGGCAGGTTTGACTCCAGCTTGTTTAAACAAAGGCATTTCTCAGAGAACATAAAGTATTCCTGGTGTTGTGAATTCTGTGAGATTTTATCTCTTTTTTACATTTTTCTTTAGCATTTCTGGGTAGAATGAACTTAAGAATCAAGTAGTATATCATGGCCATGCACACAGACAGACACGTGGAGGTGGCTTAGCAAAGCAAATACTCCCATTTTCATAGGACAATATTCTGGATACTGTTTGAGGCTGGCTCTGAATGTGTGGATTTGGAAGGAAGCTGCATTTCTAGGGCAGAAAGATACCTTCCTCCAGTTCTACCCAAAACTCATTGTCAAGTAGCCAAAAAATAGAAAAGTCAAGGGCTGTTGACTTTTCTTGATGTCCATTCCCTTCCATTTGAATAGAAATCCTAAAGTTACAGGCTGAAATGCTTTTCCTAGAAGAAATTTTTATCTCAGTTCTCCTATCCTTGGCACTCCCACCCAAACCTCCTTGAACCCAGAGCTCACTCTTGTAATGAGACCGTGAATTGTACTACCTTTGCTTTGTGATCAGGCATATTTCATGATTTCTTTCTAACGGTGTCAGTTTCTGCTTTTCTCTGTGCCTGGTAAAGGTAGCTGTCCTTTCATCCTCTCCAAAAGAGGTACCCAAGCTGACAGTCTCTGAGATTTCCCCCATTTGGTTTTTGGGTCTCTCTCACTTTAGTTATAACCATCGTCCTGGGACCTGGTGTTTAGTCAGGCCTATGAAGGGATACCCACTACCTCTGCTCTCATCTTACTCCACCTTTTTCCATGTCAGTCTTGATCTGCTCCTCAAGATCCTCTGGGGACACATAGAAATCCTCTTCTGGCACCGATGATTTGGGCCGGCAGCGTCCACAGCAGCAGTTGCAACAGCAGCACAGACAGCAGCAACAATAGCAGCCCGTCAAGAGGCCAATGATGACAAACAGGGTCTAGGGGAAACAGAGGCAAAGAAAAATAGGGATGAGGGGTAGTGGGTGAGGGGTAGTAGGTGTGGGAGAACCCCAGAAATTAAGTGTGCACCACGCACCTCCAGAGACCTGAAGACATTGCAGTTCACCAGAAAGACCACACATTCACCCTCTTCCTTATCACATGCAAAAACTATCTTTTCAGTTTCCTTGGAAACAAATTCCTCATAAAGTATGCCTAACAAGTTTAGCCAGGAGGAAATGACTTGTAGCCAAAATAACGAAGTATGACATTTTCTTCTTTATTCTTAAGCTATAGTGATCATCATTAAGACTAGAGCCAACAAAACAACAAACAAACAAACAAACACAACCTCTACAGGTCAAATGAGCTAAGGGAACAGAATCGTTCTTAGCAAAGAAGAGCTATTGATAGCTCCCCCTACCACCCCCACCTTCCTCTTAGTCACCAAGTCCTGCAGAGTCTCTCTCCTCAAGATCTCTCACACCCTCCCCCTCAGCTCTATCCTGCCAGGTAGGGCTTTAGAACAGATCCCATGATCTCTACTCTGCATACTTCAGTAGCTTCCTAGCTGGCCTCCCTGCCTCTGCTCTTGCCTCCTAATCCACTCTACACACTGCTGCTGGAGCTTTCTGAAATTCGTATTCTCTGGAACCCATGCAGCCACTCTCCTGCCTCTTAGAAAAGGCCGGAGCTCCTTATTAATGGCCATCTGGCCTCTGCCAACCCCTCCTAGCCACTAGCACGGCCCTGTTCCCGCCATACCTGCCACAGCTTCGCTCTCCCTGTGAATTCATCTGCCTAGATGTCCCCCTCCCATTCCCCAGTCATCTAACAAATACCCACTCAGTGTTTAAGATTCATCTCAAAGATCCTCTCTCTGACATCTTTCCTGATCCCTGCCCCAGAACAATTACTCCCTCCTTTGTGCCTCAATTGTACTCCATACAAACTCCACTACAGTGCTCTTTTTGTTTATACTTTAGGACGTTGATTATTTATAGATCTGTCTCTTATTAGACTGTGAGTTTCTTGAAGGTTAGAACTATATGTTAGCCATTTTCAATCCCTCCTACCTAAGGATTTAGTACCTGGCATGTGGCAGACACTTAACACATACCTACTGAATTAATGAATGTATCAAGTAATTAATAGATAAACAAATGATTTGTTTCTCCTGGTGAACAGCACCGAGATCTCCTCGCAAGCATATAAAAGGTTTGCTCACTAAGTTTGCCATAGCTAAAGACAAAAAGAAACTCTCACAACATCTCAATTTGAAGTTAAAATAAGCCAATTTTTGTTAACTGAGCAAAATAAATTTATGATTTTATTAAAAATATGTTATTTGAAATAGAAAAGAAGTGGTTTATACACCTTTGAATCAGAATGCAGATTTTATCTAATAAAGGGAGGGAAGAGGATAACGATCACCTCGTGTGTCTGCAGTTCTTCAATAACTCAAGGCAGAAACCTTTGATGGTGACGAATGTCACCTGCCCCATTCCCGCTTCCTGGCCTATGACTCCGTGCATCTGATTCTGGCCCTAGTTGTGGGGTGGAGCCTGCGGGTGGCTTGGAGTGAGAGAACTTCAGTCACACGTTCACACCTATAACCTTTTTGCTGTGGTTACTCTGCATTTTCGTGGACTTGGGTAAAGTACTCTGAAAACAAAACTGCAGCACCCCTTGCCTCCCGGACCCTGCTGTGCAGTGTTCCTGAGCCAGTGCCCCAGCAAGCTCCCCCTTTCTTTACCCACTTTTGTCCTTTTGGTTTTTACTATGCAATTCCCATATTACTCTCTTGAAAATTTCTTTTAATTAATATACTGTTGTGTTCTTTAATTATTCCAACTAGATTGTTAGCCTATTACAGAAACAACCTTGCCTTATCTCTTACAGTGCTTAGCAGCACAGTACCAAGCACAAGTATCCGATAGTTTATAAATACGTTTTCAATGGTACACTGATTCATTCATGCAATGCTACTTAATACATGATCACTGTGTGCCCAGCCACTCTAATGGGCACTGTACAATCAGGCTTTGGCACAGGCTTTGGCACAAGCAGAAGGGAAGGTAGATTTTTTGTAGCCTTATTTTTAAAGAGCCACATCAGGAATTATTTTATATATCTCTTATACTACTGGACAGCTGACGCTTGTCTATATGAATTTCAATCAGTTTTGTCAACTTCCTGGGCAAGGAAACCTAGTCTCATTTTTATGCGGGCAGGCCCCAACGTGTAATCGAGCGCTAGTGTAGGTTATGGAGAACGCCAGATGTACCCTCCCATGGAAAGAGTGTCATGCCTGGAGGTGAGGTTCCCAGGCAAGCCCACAAAAGCCCATATTGTTGTATGAATGTTCAATCTGTCATCATAAATGACATTGTCAGTATGTACTCTTGCATTCTACTTCCAAATCTGCTTGGCAGGAACTCATCTCCTTGCCAAGTCTTCAACAATATGGAAAGGGGGTTTCAGTGGGAATCTCTGTTATTGCCAAGGAAAGGAATTCTGGAGACTGCAGAAGGAAATGAGGCTTTAGGTTGCAGACTCTCTCCATGCTTATGTACAAAAACACATTCTCTCTCTTCCTGCATACATAAAACTCTTCTATTTAGTAAAATTTATTTATTTTTCTTTTTTTGTGAAGAAGATCAGCCCTGAGCTAACTTCCAATGCTGACCCTCCTCTTTTTTGCTGAGGAAGATTGGCCCTGAGCTAACGTCTGTGCCCATCTTCCTCTAGTTTATATGGGACACCGCCACAGCATGGCATGACAAGCAGTGCATCAGTGCATGCCCGGGATCCGAACCTGCGAACCCCGGGCCACCGAAGCGGAGTACATGCACTTAACCATTTGCGCCACTGGGCCAGCCCCATATTTAGCAAAATTTATTTTAGTGAAAGAAACAGCAATCAGAAGACTACTGAACATGAAATTTCCTCTTTGGAAATTTGCAGTTTTTTAAATTATTAACCACAACTCATATGTGGACTATATGTATAGTACATACGTAAACATACTTTTATCAGAAGATAAGAATATTAAAACTCATAAACAAATATAAAAGCATCACCAAACATACATATACCAGGGATTCCTAGGAAAACACACAAAATGTACTGTCAAAAGTCAATTCTGATTGTACAAAGTCTTTAAAAATGTTGCCTTTTTCTTGATCAGATATCTTTTTTCTCTCTCTCTTCCTCTCTCTGTCTCTCCAACTCCCTGTCCTCCACTCCTTAATTCTCACCTTTTCCCTTCATTTCCTTCTCCACTACCTCACAGCAGACTGCACGTGAGCCTATGACATAATTACCATTCTCCTAGGTATTGTGCTTACTGATGTACCTATGCTATAGATAGTAAAGTACATGGCTAAATTTGTCCCATAGTAATTTATTAAACAGTTGTCACACTAATAAATTATTTTTGGTTTTGAGCAATGAGTCAGCACTTAATTAGTCATTATGGGATGAGGGAGGGCAGTCAGAATGAACCTGAAGCTTCAAATTCAAATATAATTAGCCTAAAAGTATTTTAAGTTATGCTGTATTTTATAACTCTTTGATGAGCTAAAGCAAAAATGATCCTCCAATAACAGCTTTCGGTTGAAGCTACCTCCTTTTATTTACAAGAATTTAATAATATAGTAAGGTTAGTCTTTCTTTGAGATCGAGTCTAAAAGAGTGAATAATATCATGATCTTCCAGGAAACTGTTTTTGAAGGAAAAAAATATAATTCACCTTTGCCCACCAGCTTGACAGCATAAAGTAGGTATTAACATTTTCATCTCCAAATTGCTCGGCCACATAGAGTCCCAGAGATCCATATTTGTCATATATATTTCTCTTTGACATGTCGGTAAGTATTGTGTGGGCCTTGTTGATTTCTTTAAACTTCTCAGCAGCAGCTGGATCATCTGGATTCTTGTCTGGATGGTGTTTCAGGGCCAATTTTCTTTTAAAATAAAAAAAAGTGAGAAAAAGTGTTATTTGACAAGAATTGCAATGACATTTTAGAAGGGCGCTATTCATTTGTACATCCTTTATACAAGCAAATACCGTTAAATAACGTTTCACACTAATGCAGATTTAACTAAGCAAGTTTTCATGAAAAGTTGTCTCTTGTCTCTAATATGCAGGCACTATAGTATTGTTTCTCCCCTTACATCCTCAAAAGAATTCTCAGCAGCTGCGTAGTTGTCGAATCTGAGACATTTTGCTGTTGGCAAATATGTGAAGTTTATTTTTACATGTGAGCTGATCAGTAGTCCACCCCAACATGCAGAGGCCTTTAAGAGTTCCAGCAACAGGACCAATTTACACCAAAATTCCATCTAGAACTGGAAGAATTTTCCAGAATTAACAAAACTTCACACCACATATTCTCAAAGTTAAAGTCAATTATCAAAAAAAAATTCTAATTTATACTCTTTTGAATAAACGTTATGACCCCCTCACAAATCTTCCACAAATCCTAACTCCCTTTGTTTTTCTGAACAAACACTGTGACTTTCCTTGTATTTAAATACATCTTTGACCTCTTTTCAAATAGGTCTTCCCACTTCAAATAATCTAGAAATTTTTTGTTACTTTCTATTATTTTTATTATTTCTTTTTTTATTCCGGTAATCAAGGTCCATCCGTATTGTTGCAAATGTCATCTTGTTTTATAGCTGAGTAGAATTCCATTGTATATATATACCACATCTTCTTTATCCATTCATCCGTTGATGGGCACTTAAGTTGTTTCCAAGTCTTGGCTATTGTGAATAATGCTGCAATGAACACAGGGTGCAGATATCTTTACACATTTGTGTTTTCGTGTTCTTTGGATAAATATCCAGAAATTTAATCGTGAATACAAGGCCTTCTCTCCTCTGTGGATCGTAAAGCAATTTCTGAAAGGTGTGAGTATATGTTTGTGTTGCATTGTGTGTGTATATGTGTGTGTTGGGGGCTGATTTGGAGGTATCCTTTATTCTTCGGTTGCAGTCAAGTATAAAAAGGAAACCGTAAAATGGATATAAGAACCAAGCTATGATAGTCAGGCACTAGCTAGTGGCCATTTCCCTCATTTCCCTCTACAGATGATTTAAATAATGATTAAAGCCACGTTCAAAATTGATTCTGTGGTGTTTTTTCCACTACAAAGTCCATTAATTTTGTGACTCTCTACTGGAAATTTTACACAGTCTGTTCTCCCGACTGTGCCCATATAGGCGTAGGTAAGAATACACCTTTAAGCTTTTGTCTATTGTATTAGTTTAAATCAAATTGTTTCATTTTAATGCACTAATAAAAGTCCATAAGTAGAGCATAAAAGTAAAATATACCTTATAAATTAATCTACATGATAAACTGAAAAAAATCACACCCTTTTTAAGAATTAAAGTATTACTGGTTATGATGTAGGTGAAGAGTTAACCAGCTCAGCATCAGGAGGCTTAAAAAGTACCAAAATATTTACAAGTATAAATTGTGGTGTATAATCCGTTCTAACTCTGAACTCAGAATAATTAAAAAGAATAAAATAATGATGGTTCATTTTAAATTTGTTTAACCAAAACATTTTTCATCCTCCTTTTTGAGAGATGTTTAGGGTATCTATAAATTCTTATAGATGGGACCACTGGAGACATGTTTTTTTACATGCAGAATTTATGACGAAATCTTGTGCTAATAGCACAAAATGCCTATTGTGTCATTTTTTACAATGACAATTTATTGTCATTTTTAATGTTTATAAACATTTTATAATGTTTACTATATGCCAGAACTATCATGTTATAAATATTAATTCATTAATCTTTACCACAACCTTATGAGGTAGTATTATAATGATCCCATCTTACAAATGAGGAAATTTAGCCACCGAGAGGTTAAGTAACTTGCCCAATGTTACACAGCTAATAATTAGAGCCAGGCTTTGAACATGGGCAATTTGACTCTGAGCACATGCTCTTAACCACCACTATGCTGCCTTCTATGTTTATATTTTTTAATTTAAAGAGTAAGGCACACAGAATGTTAGTAGGCCATGGTAAAGACTTTAGCTTTTGGTCTAGGTGACATGGGAAGCTATTGGAATGTTTTGAGAAGAGTGGTGTGACCTGACTTTAGTTTTAGAAGGATCACTCAGTCTTGGGGGGTACAAAGGCCAAGGCAGGGAGACTCTTTTAGGAGAAGCTCTTGGTAGTTGAGACCAGTGTGATCGTGGAGGATACAGAGAGAAGTAGTTGGAGTTTGGGTATATTTCGAGGGCTAGCTGATGGATTGGATATGGAGTGGAAAAGAAAAAGGGGAATCATGGATGGCACCAAAGTTTTAGCCTGAGCAACTGGAAGTTTGGAGTTACTATTTAATGAGATGGCGAGAGATTTTTTTTTTTTTTTTTGGAAGTAAGAAATGGTTTGCTAGGATTCAGGAGTTCTATTTTGGACATGTTTGAGATGCCTATTAGACTTCCAAGTGGAGAGATGGAGGTAGATAGATATAAGAGCCTTCTGTTCAGATGAGAATTATTGTGGGAGATGTACGTTTCAGAGTTCTTGGCAGGTAGATGGTATTTAGAGCCATGGAACTGGAAAAGATTCCCAAGAAAGTGGGTCCAAGAGATTCTAAGGACTGAGCTTTGGGAAGGAAGAGCCAGCAAAGGAGATAATAAAGACAGACCAATGATACAGAAGGAAAAATCTGGAGAATATGGGGTCTTGTGATCCAAGTATTTCAAGGAGGAGAGTGGTCACTTATGTCAAATGCCACTGACAGGTCATGTACGATGAGAACTAAGAACTGACCACTGGGGTTAGTGATATGGAAATCTTTGGTGACCTTGACACACACAAACACATGAATACACACACATGCACACACACACACATATACAACACACATATGTACACACACATGCAGACAATTGTATATATGTCTTTATATAGGGAAAACGAAAACAGAAAAATAAGGAGAAAAGAAAGAGGAAAATGGAAGGTTATAACCACAATTAGTGCTTATAGCTACACATTGGGATTGTGAGTGACTCTTTGTTTTGTTTTGCTTGTTATAAAAAAATATACATGTTACTTGTGTGGTTTCTTTCCCTAAGCATTTTAAAGCTCCAGTTACAAATTTTGTTCTCTTTTAATAGCTGATAGTTTAGAGTTTGCTCCCTTAAATGACTCATTGTCACATTAGAGAGGGAATAAAAAGGAAGAAAGAAAGAAGAAAAGTCCTCAAACTGCAGTGATACAATGACTATCATCAAAAAGTCTCAAGTCGCTTCTTTAAGCACATGAATTTTAAGGACACAATATTCCTGGAATTCTCACTCCATGCCCTGAAGTACAATTGCAGCATTGTCCCCTACTAGTTCCACAGGCCAATCAAATGCAAGGGCTGTTATTTCTGCGTTGAAAGAAAGAAATCCCTGGAAAATATCTCTTTACATTTCCTTGTTCCTCGGGTTCAGTTGTAGACTGATACACACCGTCCAGGACTCAGCCAGAGAAGCCTGGCTTCTTGCCATATTTTAAGCTGCTTGGATCTGTGTCAGCTCAGAAGGGCAGATGCACTCAACCATTTTCACATTCCTCCAACAATGGAGTTGGCAAATTCAGAGGGCTGGAGCAGCTCCATTTGCAACAAATCCAATTCCTGGTGGTCAGCAGCATTTTGACTCCTCTTGGCAGATACTTTTGGCTCTGAGGAATCCTCAGGAAATGTGGCTAGCAGAGGCAGCTGCCAAAATTACACAACTGCACAAGGAGGTGGTTGATCAATGACCCACTCCCTTGGGAATTGTCTACAGAGCAAGAAAACACGTATAGAATTTAGGGTGAAAGAAACTGCTTGGAGTACATTTAAATATAATATTTACTTATTCATTTTAAAGATCTTTCTTATAATTTCTCACTTTATGCTTAAAAGTGACATATTATTCAACAAGAATGTGAACCTTTAATTCTAAATCTTTTTATACTCTCAGTCACCTGTTAATCTGGTATGGCTATAAATAACTTTGGAAATAGCAACAATGCCTCTAATTTCCACTTTGAAATCCAATGACAGCTGTCAAATGAAATGTATAGTGAATCCAGTGAGTGACAGATAAGATAAACATGGGGTTTATAGTTACAGTTACCTAAGGCCTCTAAGATCTACCTATTTTGAGGCAGTGGAATTCTAAGAATTGTAATGTTCTGCCCAGTTCTCTTCCTTGCCACATCTAACACTCAGATAAGGGCCGGCCCCGTGGCTTAGCGGTTAAGTGCACATGCTCCGCTGCTGGCGGCCCAGGGTTCGGATCCCGGGCGTGCACTGACGTACCGCTTCTCCGACCATGCTGAGGCTGCGTCCCACATACAGCAACTAGAAGGATGTGCAACTATGATATACAACTATCTACTGGGGCTTTGGGGGGAAAATTAAAAAAAAAAAAAAATTTAACACTCAGATAAGGTCTAGGTACCACTCTCTACCAGGCTCTGAGTTAGCTAAAACCTGATTCTGACCATGTTGCCCCAGCTCTAGGCCAAATCTATCTCAGATGGGGTTGGAATGTCAGAGGAGACTTTCTCGTTTGGGAGGGCTGGATTCCGAGCCTCAGGGAACTAAGTACCTCCAACGGTATGGCTGTGTCTATAGCTGCCTTTCCCTACTCAAGACGTTTCCAGATGCTTTCTCCAATTACCTTCTGTTGCTTCCTGTTTTAAAGATTTCCCCATTGCTCTGTGTTTTCTGCTAACCTTCATCAGCCACAAAGTTTATTGCCCCGCCAATGTCCCAAAAGCAAGCCACCTGCTGTCTAAGACAAAGGAGTAGAAGAGGGAGGGTGAGGCACTGATTTCTTCCTATATCCTAGAACATTTAAAATTACCTTCATGGCAGAGCCAGCATCTACTGCAAAAGTAGCGAAAGAAAGCAAAATCTGAGCTCATGTGAAATATAGACTATTCTGTC